TGGGAAGTAGCAAGGGGCCAGAGAGCTGGCCCCTGTAAACCTGCCATGGACACTTGCCAAGGGGCCAGCTGGCTATGGCGGGGTGATGCAGCAGACAACCCCGAGGAAATTGGCATGAACATGCAACCTGGCTTGCCTGCCACGCGGATGCCCTCCTCCTCCTTCAGAAGCAGGCCCGTCACCAAGCGTCCTGCCCTCTGTCATTGGCAAAAGGCCCAGCCAGTGACTGCCAGCAGGAGAAAGGAAGAGGAGGGGTGCAGGCAGTGAACAGCCATCTTCCCCAACCGGCTCAGCCCACCGGGATCTTCTCCTCCCCTGAGCTCTCCAGCCTTGACCACAGTGGCCAGGGCTGTCATGACACACAACTCCAGGGGGCGCCATTCCCGTGCACACCCAGACTGGTTCTGTTCAGTATTGGTGTATGAGCTTGTCTTAACTACCTCGGCTAGACAGCTCCTGGCAGGCCAGGGCAAGTTTCTAAACCTCTTTAAATACCAAAACACCTAGCGCTGAGCCCAGCTTGGTAAACATTTGCTGATGGATGGGCCATCCCGAAATGGGGTCATCAACCCTGAATCACAGATAAAAGAACTGTTTAGTCTTGGAAGAGCATGTATTTTAGAGTTCTGCAAACCCGCTACTGCCCAGCTTTGGTATCTGGTATGAACATTAGTCATTCAGAAATGTGACCTTTCGTGACACAGGGTGTCTCCGAGCAGCAGTGTGACCTGACCCACGGTGGCATTCTGGCCTGGCTAGTGTCCTCCCTAAAGGGGTTCAGTTTTGAACAGGGATTTCACGAGCTGCAGGCAGAGCTGACGCACCCTGCAGAGCCCTGAGTGGGCTTGGGATTAGCCATGCTCATAACCATTGTTTACACAGCCTCCGAGCAGGCCCAGGCTCACGTTTCTCCCAGAGGCCCGCGGTATTTCTCTCTGTGAGTTTTTTTTTAAGCATGAGATCTCAACCCCATACTTGAATACTTCTCCTCTAATGTAAGAGTCTGAGCAGCTAAATGATGCCTTGTTGGGCCCTCTCAAGCCTGCCTACCTTCCATCTGGCAACGAGTGCACAGTACGAACACTTTCAGGCACTGCCACAGCACTGTCTGGACGCTGGGCTGCCCTGCTGGAATCAGTTGCAAGTGATTGGAAAACAATGAGGGGGAAGAAAAAAAAACAAAGATGCTGAATTGAGAATTGGAGGACTGCAGTTTTAGCCAGGAGCTCGCTGGATAGCCCTGAGCTGGTGAGTTCTCTGTTCTCCATGTTGCTATTTGTAAGATGGAACAAGAGGAGTGTGCCCCTGCCCTGCCATCCACAGGACTCCTGTCCCGAGCCCTGTGTCCCTCTGCAGATGAGAACTGGGAGGGTGGGATGGGACAGGCCAGCATCGAGCCCCTCAGCCCGTCCCTGGCGCCCTTTGCATGGATGACTGGGGTGGGGATGACACCTCGGTCACAGGACAGAGGTGGTTACATTTTTTCAGGTCAGAGACTGAGTTTGGAATTGTTCTCATGTCATAGTGCCCCAGATCTCTGATTCCCAAACTAATTATTGAGATCAATGAATTGATTCTTCTTTTCCAAGAACGCCAGTCTCCAAATGCCCAAGAATGAGGGGGCGGCCTTTAGTGTCTCCAGCTCCCTGGGAGGGCAGTGGGGGGACCAGCACCGTCTCAGGAGACCTGGGCCTGGCTTCAGTTCCAGTTCTACCCTCAACTCACAGAACGACATTGAGGAACTTCTTTCCCCTCTAGGGCCTCAGTTTCCCCAGCTGTGCAATTAGGGGTAGACTGAAAGAGTCCCAGCGTCCCTCTTGACTCTGAGGTTTGAGGCTGTTTGCCTTTCCTTCTCCATCAGGCCTTTTTCCTCCTTCTTTCCTCATCCTCTCAGTCTTCTAATTCTTTTCCCCATTCTTGCAGGAGATCTTGGTTCTTTTTCTGGCTGGTCTTGGCTATTCTACTGATCTGGGACCCACTTTTCTCTATAGACAGTGAAAGTTTGATTCAGAGTGTCTAAAGGCTTACCCAGCTCTGATACTCTGGTTGTCCTGGGATGCCATGGGGTAAAGTCCCACCTGGTACACAGCTGGGAAGTGCTAGATATTCTGTGCTGGGCCTCTCCATTCACCCATCACTGGGAGACTTATCCCTTAGATGTCCCAGCTGCCACCTCACTGACTAGTCCAGATTTCTCAGGAGGACTTTGTGAAAATGTCTTAGACCGAGGTCAACAGGCAGAATCTGTTGCAATGCCTTTTTTTATGTGTCAGCTTAACAGCCTCCACTTATTCAATCAAACATAAATCTAGGTGTTGCAGTGCAAGTATTTTATAGATATGATTGAAGTCCATAATCAGTGGACTTTAAGTAAAATAGATCATCCTAGATAATCTGGGTGGGCCTATTTCAATCAGCTGAAAGCTTCAAGTGCAGAGCTGAGGCTTCTGTGAAGAAGAATTCTACCTGTAGACAGTAGCTTCCAGCCATGTCCCTGAATTCCACCTGCCTTCCTTCATGGCTTTCCTTACAGATTTCAGCTTTACCCAGCCAGTACCCGCAGTCACTAAGCCAATTCTGTGCAATAATTCTCTTGATAAATACTTCCTACCCATTCTGTTTCTCTGGTTGAACCCTGACCAATAGCTTGTTCTGTGCCACCTCTGGTCTGACCAGTTGCCTCTAGGCTATTTCTGAAAAATATGAAATGGGGCTCCCTAATTTTTTAGTCCAGACCTTCATGACCTTGACAATGTGTATCAAGCATTTCCTACCTAGGCAGAATTAATGTACCCTGACTCTCAGTCACATTCTGGCCAAGGTAAAATGAGGCTCCTGAACACTTTGCCTTTGCTGGTTTTTCAATCCCTCACTTGTACTTTTACTTGATTTACTTGATTTTTACTTGATCTTGGGATTCTTTGCACATTTTATTCACCTGATGTTACTTTTAATGGCAAGATCTTCTAAATACATCTTGCTGAGAAAGGGGGAAGTGGTTAGAGTACAAGCTTAGCATGCACGAGGTCCTGGGTTCAATCCCCAGTACCTCCATTAAAAATGAATAAATAGATTCTACATATGAGCAATCTCATACGGCATTTTTCTTTCTCTTTCTGACTTATTTCACTCAGAATGACATTCTCCAGGGACATCCATGTTGCTGCATATGGTGTTATGTTGTCATTTTTATGGTTGAATAGTATTCCATTGTATAAATATACCACATCTTCTTTATCCAATCATCTGTCAATGGACATTTAGGCTGTTTCCATGTCTTGGCTATTGTAAATAGTGCTGCTATGAACACTGGGGTGCAGGTGTCTTTTTGAAGTAGGGAAACATAAA